AGCCATAGGTTCTGATTGCGTTTAGAGAGAATGCAGGTTGACTTTGTTATTTTGAAGATCACGTCCAAGTTGGCAAGACATTATTACAACCTATTATTGCACTTTCAACTACTGAAAATGAATATGCTGCTAAAGTAAGAAAAAAAAGTGATTGTCTCTTGCAATTTGAATAGTCTAATTTGATCTTTATTTTAAAATAAGATAAAATAGAAAGTCTTTTGACATTTATTTTTAAGTATTGATTTTCTAAAATTAAAAGTATGTTATTTTAAGAGAGCATCATCGATGTTTATATGATTATTATTATTATTTATTTATGTTCGTGACTTGTAAACAAGAATGGGAGTTGGGGACATATATTTTTCAGTTTATATATGCATTTGCACGTAATGTGAATATTATTCTTTTCAATTTCTATCTTTTGGCGCAAGATCTTAATTGTTGGATGTGTTTTGTGTTAGTATTCATTTGTTCATTCTGTTCCCTTGCATAACATTATAGTTGACAACTAGAACTTGTAACCTCTATTGCATTCGGACAAGTATGTTTTCATTTCCTAATTGCGTTGACAATTGTCTTTTGGTGTCCCATTTCTAACTAACGATATTTCAGTGGACATACCCCATTTTTTGGGGCTAACCCACTAGATTTGACAAGTTATAGATTCCAAATTTTATAGTGAGTTCGCAATTTTAGTGGACTGGATCGTCTAGAAAAATATGAGACTTGTGATAAACATAGATGCTTTGTCGATATGTTTGTATTTACTTAATGCAACTCACAACATGACATGTCATGGACTACGTTGGCCAGGGTTGCTAATGTCTTCTGTGACCGTGTTTAGAATTAGAAAGCCTAGTTCTATTTTGTCGAGAGTAATCAACTTGCAAAAAGAAATAAAGACATTCAAAATTTATAAATGTTCATCTCAATGTGAAACGATGTCCTCTTTCATTGCTATAGTTATTCCGTGCTATACGTACATAATGGTTTACCTAACCGTTCACCTACTACTTACATCATTTAGGTGGGACCTCGGTTCAGATTATTAAATAACACATGTGGTCCCATGTTTGTGAGGGGGGTGTAAACGATTTGGTACACCCCCTTCGGAACAAATGGTTTATTCCTTATTATACTAATAAGAAGTTTATAAGAAAAATTGCACACCCTATCTCCTTTACTCTTTCTCCTTTTATGATAGAAATCCAAAAATTTAATAACGACTCCCTATTTATAAGATAAGATAGGACAATCAAAATTCATAAAGTCGATCAACGTACCGCCTACGTACAATGATAATAATTAGGGAAAATTGCATCAACAGTCCATAACCATTTTTATTTTTGCGGATTTTATTCTAACATTCAATTTGTGACAATGAACATCTCTAACCATTCAGAAATATACAGTTGGGGTCCAAACGGATGGGAATCATTTATTTGACTGTTAATTGACCAAAAAATTTGATTTTGACCAAATCTGAGGATGGGGCATTTTTGGTTTTTTATTTTTGTTTATTTTTTCTGATTTTGTTTGGTTTTTTAATAATAAAAAATTAATTAAGTTACTATTTTGCCTTGCCAAATTTGGTCAAAATCAAATGTTTTGGTTAATTAAGGGTCAAATGAATGGTTTTCAACCGATTGTACCTCAATTGCATATTTTTAAAAGGTTAGCGACGTTCGTTGGCACAAATTGAATGTTATGATAAAATCTGCAAAAATTGAAAAGGTGAAGGACGCTGTGACATTTTTCCCTAATAAATAAGTTACACAACTTAACAATTCGAACCTTTTTGACCCGAACAATAGTCTAACTCAGTGGGAGGTATGAAATTATAATAGTAATGTGGGTTTGTCTGTGCTTTTATGGTGGTATACATCTGTGGACATTTATTTATATGTAAAACGTAAGACATGTATAGTATAGGAAGGAGAGTGGTGGATAGGTTATGTAACTTTAAAAGCGTGGGATGGTTTTGTTGGAGAATCCACAAACCAAATGGCTCCATCCCCACCAAACCAATTGTAATTTTTATGCTTATTTGCTAATTTTGTTGTTCAAGTTCCCCCACATCCACGCGTGCGTGCACATTATTGATTTGAGGGTAAAATTATTTTCATTAAAGTTGACAAATCAAGCCATCATGGAAATTACAATCATGTTTTCTTCCTAACTTTCAAATGTCATTGCCAACCTAGGAATAATAATAATGGACCGAATATCTCATCATTAAAATATGGTTCAATATTTCTTCGTTAAAAGTTACAATCTTTATTCAAAAAATATTAGATTTTAGTTCCGCTTCCATTTTAAGTGGGCAATCCAAATACATTAATCTTGTTCGAGATACACGTTTTTCGATTCAACAAACTGTATTACATTATTTTTACGATTTTTTACTCGAGAAATTTTGTTCATTATGCTATTTTAGACTTTAAAGTCGAGTATGTTAAAAATCTTATTTCTCTATCAAAAGGTTCTAGAATATAAATTATATTGTTATAATTAAAGAGTTTTTTTTGTCTCCTCCCAAAGTTACTCCACATTTAAAAAGTAAAAAGAAAAAAATTTGTTTATTTAAAAAAAGAAAAAGAAAGGCCATCCAAGACGTGCCTGCGGGAATCCTTTTACTTTTTGTATCTCGCATATCTATGTATTGTGGGTTGAACTTGATTGCGTTGTTCCCTCTATTCCATGCAATTGGGCATGAAAATATGCATATTATATTATTATTAGATTAAACTGTAATTAGTCTAATAAATAAAATAAATAAAATTTGGCACCTTGGATCTTCTACTCTGACTAAAAGATTTCATTGAAGTAATAAATCTAATTATTTTATTTGTGGAAGCATGGCGTGTTCTCATTGGACAAACCTGATTATATATTCCAAACTTTAATTAACTGGATGGTTTACTTACTCAATTTATTTATAATTATTTGTTAATATTCAAACCAAACTTATCAGAATTTGGTAAACTTAAATAGGTTTATAGTCAAAGCTAAGATTTGACTGTCATTTTCGAATAAATACCTGCTACATTATTATGAATATTTGAAGAAAAATTTGACAAGGTAACAAGAAAATTAATGTTTTGAAACAAAAAAAATAGAATTGATTCTCTTGATTTTGTGGTATTAAATTTTGAGATTAGTAGAGCAAATAGGGCAGCTAAGCCCATCTTAATCGTCCTTTTTTTATTTATTTATTTAAAGTAATGCCACTTGTCATGAAGTTGATCACTTCATTTGTACTTTTAAATAATCAATAACTTTGACGTCATAATTATTTGTTGAATGTGACAAATAAATTATTATCCATTTTTACGATAGGTAAAGTAATTTATTTGAAGAATTCTATACATCTGTTTAATTTTAATTTTAATTTTTTTTCTCTTGAAACTAACTCAAGACCCAATTATCATGATCCATCTTAGCAAGAGAGAATTTTTTAAAGTCTTGTCCATCCCTTCGCAATTAAAACTATAAATATCGATGAACCATGAGTGTATAAAAACTTTATACAATATACAAATTCTTTCAGTAAAATAAATTTTTATGTAAATTCAAAATTTTCATTATTTTTAACAACATGTTCTTTAAAAAAATTATTTTATAAAAGAATAAGGCTCGAACATGGGCTAAATGGGCAAACTTATCAAGAGAAATATCAAAAAGAAAAAAATTAATATAAATAATTTAAGTAATTATGGTATAAATACTTTCTAAACTACAAAAAGGGCTAAAAAATTGGTTTTGTATTGATGGTTCAAAGAACAACCGTAAATCACGTCAATAAAAAGTGATAATAGTAGCCAATGGCCCCTGTGCACTTTTCAAGGAAACTCTACTCTTCAAAAAGGTAAAGTTTTGATGGATTTAATGAAGATGCTATTTCAGAGATTAGTATTGAGTAACATTGGCTGGTATTCATAGTTTGAATGGTCAAGCTTACGGTTTTGCTACTGGTACATTAGGGTGTATCTAATGGTGTACATTCCACTCACATGGACGAGAAATCCACTCGATTAAAATATTCTTTATTTCACATGGGTCCCACACCCATGTGAATGGATTGTACACCATTCAGTACACTTCATTATATATACCACTAGACAAATTCCAAGATTTAATCATTTGGTCTTCATTTTAAACATTGGATGCCAATCCATCCCTTAGCAGCTTTGTATTTTTGGTTCTTGATTCTCCACCTTTAGAAAAAGAGAAATGTTAATAAATTTTTTCTTTTATTTTGTCTGAACGACATTTTACAGAAAATAAAGCTTTTAAGATTACGTTAGATGTCTGTCATTATTAAGAACTCATTTTTGTAGTTCGTGTAAATAGAAAATTGAAAAATATTAAAATGTTCGTGGATATATCAATTTGCATACTAATTACAAGTAAGAATGACGACAAATATGATTATATGAGGGAAACCATAAAATAAAATAAATCAATATGCAACTTCATATTTTGATTTTAGATCATTGTTTGAGTTCTATTATCTAAAAACTCATTTTTCATCGAATTCAGTTTCGATTACATATTTTTCAAATAAAATAATTCTACATGTGAAGCCAAAAATTTTCTTTACTTTTTACCATACATTCTTAAAAAAAAAAAAATGACTATAAGAAAATAGAAAAATAAAGTTTCAGACATAGCCTAGATGCAACTAAAAATATCAAATCTATAATAATTAAAATTTAGAACTTTAATGATGAAACAATAAGTCGTGACATCTTGACCTTATTATTACAATCAAATATTTTAATTAATAGTAATGAAACTATAATATTATTTTAAATTCAATAATGTAAAATGAACTAATCATGTAATTAATTATTATTTACAGTTAGCTCAAATAATTTCTTCAACATAATCAATTTTAGAAATCACAGCATAACCACTCTGGGGTCCACCCCGCACGCACACAGTGTGGGTTATAATTGTTCACACGTTTGAAACACTAACACTGATGAATCAAGTGTCTATATAGTGTACTACTTTCTCCCACGCCGTGCACTCCTCATCCTTCTCTCTACTTTCTCCTTCTAAAAATCTTCTCTGCTGTTCATTTTGTGTTCTGATTCTCGCATGTGATAACCTTATTTGGGGGCTGGATTTTACGTTCATTGATTGTAAGTTGTTTCTTTTTGTCATTTCAATTGGTTCATAGATGTCAGTTTTTTGTTGATTGCTTCTGTTTTTTGGGCTTCATGTGTCATGGTTTTGACTTGATGATGTTTGCTATCAGATCTGGTTTTAATTGGTTCATTCGGAAATTAGAATTGAAGAATTTTCTGACTTCAAGGATAGAGTTGTTTTAGTAGGGAATATGGAATGGCTTCACATTATATACGTTGCACGCCATCGATTATTCGCTGCCGTAGGTTCTAATTAAAGAATTTTTTCGAATGTGCTATCACGCCGCGATGGAAAGAGTTATGGTTTTGACTTGATGATGTTTGCTATCAGATCTGGTTTTAATTGGTTCATTCGGAAATTAGAATTGAAGAATTTTCTGACTTCAAGGATAGAGTTGTTTTAGTAGGGAATATGGAATGGCTTCACATTATATATGTTGCACGCCATCGATTATTCGCTGCCGTAGGTTCTAATTAAAGAATTTTTTCGAATGTGCTATCACGCCGCGATGGAAAGAGTTTGAAACTTTTGAATCTCATTTCCCAGAAGTATTTATGCATTTGTCGTGCGTTTTAAATTATAAAATTGCATTTTGTACCTGATATCATGTGAAATATTTAGATTATGGTAGTGTTTAATCAATGGTGTGTCGACCCAGGTTTATTAGGTTGAAATGAGAATTATAATGATGTTGATATTTAGGTTATTCTATGTTAATTACGATGACAATTGACGAAACACTATTTTGTGGTGATACTACATTATAATGATAGATAGATGCGATCAGGATGATAATGTTTTATTTGGTTTTCATACGTAAGATCTACATGTGTTTTATACAAATTGACAATTAATATTTATATGGATCTGTCAATTTGGAGGGATAATATTATTATGTAATGTGATATGGAGATCAAACATGATTTGATAATGAATTATTATGTGGAATTAATTTCGGTTGGCTGGTATGATGGTAAACAATTCTAATACCATGAAGAAAATGTGTATTAAAATGATTTGAAGGTTGGAATTGGGACTTGAAGGCGCAATAATGGAAAGCACTTTGCATTTTCGCCCCATTTCTACAAGGGGCACTTGGCCTTCGTTGGGCACAATTTATAAACTATTTAATTTATAAATAAATAAAAATGACTATTGGATAAGTGGATAGGTTTTAATGTGTGGTTGATAATGAAGTTTGACTATTTATAACTGGTTTTAAACTAGCCAAATGGAGGCTTAGTGTGCTAATTTGAATCCGCTGTGCTGATTTTTTAAAGTTTGGCCGTCAGAACCAAGGTTATGGACATTTTGGTTTGTTGAGGACGTGTAAGGTTCCTGACGATGTATAAAAAGTGGAAAATTTTTGGTTTACTTGTAAATTATTTTATTGAGAGAATATATAATTTCAATGAGTTAAAAATAAAATAAAATTAGTCTTTAAAGAATGGGGATCAAACAAGAGCTCACTTTATTCCCAATTATAAGAATGAACTTTAGTGATCTAATGTTAAAAGGAATAGGACCTCTTGTGCATGCATGTAACCATGGTATCTAGATGTGAGGTAAGTAACTAGGTAAATAAAGATCCATGAAAACCTGCAATAAAATTGGCAAAAATTGGTTAAAATAGCAAAGTGGCGTCAGAATTTGTGAAACATTACTGTGCACGTCACTTGCAGAAAATGGACAAAAATGCTGTAAGAATTCTGTTGTTGTGCCATCAAGTCACAAAGATAGATGCAACACCCTAACCATATTTATAAACGTTTAGTCTTGAAAAATCAAATCAAGGTTCAAGTCTTGCTCTCAAAGATAACTCCGACCTTAATCTTGAAATAAGGCTGCAGTGGTGTAAAAATAAGGATCTAATATTTCATGGAGGAATGTGGAAGGCTGAATAGGTGAAATCGATTTTCTTGCCTTCTATTTATAAAAAGTACACGTCAATTCGATATTTTGTGATACAGTTATTGGATCAAGGAGAAAAAAAATGTGTAAATTGGTGAGTATCTCTTATAATTATTTTTGCATCATACCTATTGTTTTTCTTTAGTGTCAAACAAGGCACAGGGTTTTACTTAGTGTTTCTGTCGTTGATTATGAATGTTTCTTTACCTTTTTCTGGCTTCAAACACTGAAGATTACATTTCAAAATAAATAAATAGAGATACCATTTTCTTCTCTAGTCCTCTAGGAACAACGGCTCTGCTTTGATCGGAATGACAATGAAATAGTCCTGGCTCCTTTTGCATTCTCTTGATAATCTTCTGGACTTTTATCTAATTTGGGCAAACGTTTGACACAGGACATGCAAAATTAGTCATTACTTCAACTTTTTTCTTCTTCTCTGATTTCATTCCATTTTTCACAATGGTTCTGTATTTAATGTGTTTCAAAACTCCAGCAGGGTCTCAATAGGTGAAAAGAGAAGTCAATAGCCGTGGCAATTCATCAGAGTGAAGAACAGCATGTGGTGGTATGGTCTCTCCATTGACGTGTTCCGGAAAGTTATCTCGTTGAACTTGTACTGCCGCGTGATTCTGTAAAATCACCTCACAGACGACAGCCACCCTAAAACTCTCAGTCACATATTCTCTTATGACACCTAGAATACATTCTTTTATTTCCATGGGGTCTATACACCATGTTCGCAGGATTAGTTGAGTCTGTTCTTCTGTTCCTGAAGTTCTTGCCAAGTTTTCAGTATCATCTCCTACGTAACTGTCGATGTATTTGGTCCTTCGATTTCTTTTTTCTATTAGTGTAGTGGCTTATTTATCATCTTTGGGTGGAAGATTGCTGTAGGATAAGAGTGGTCAATTTTCCGATATATTGTGGTTATTTTTCTGAGATAACGTTATCTACTTTTGAGCAAAGAGTTTGCAAACTGTTGAATTCATATATCACGGAGTCTCCGAACAGTTTGGTGTTATTTTGAGTGGATTGGGGGAAAAGTAGTTATGGTGTGTCAAGCAGCTAGTCAGACAAGATTTCGGGCATTGAAGTATGAGAATGGAATTGCTGGGTGTGCCACCATTATAGTTAGAATTATAGCGTGTTTTCAACCTCTCCAGGATTGTCAGGTTAGTATACAGCCTTCGATTTTGTGGAATGAGATTCCGTAGAATTTTAATATTTACTTGAAATGTCAGTTTATCCTAAGAGAGCTGCTACACAAACAGGGGCCTGTGACAGTCTTGATCTGAATTTTCAAATTTCAGATGAGGGGCCCTGTCACAGGGGCTTGTCAAAGGCCCCTGTCACAAGGGAACAAGATTCACTAACTTCATAAGAAGTCATATTCTTTTGCTTCTGGTTGAAGAGATTTTAATTACTTTTTGTTGGGTATATTTCAGGCCGAGTATTTCCGCCACTTGCTTAAACCTGTTACGTAGATTGATTTTTTTTCCCTCTGCATTCAAGTTAAGCTGGATTTTTTAGTGTATATTTCCCTCAAAGATACAAGAAGTAATCAGTGATTTTTTGTTCTACAGTTAAAACAGGTATGTCTGTAATGTCTAGAATTTTTCATTTTGCTGATAGTCGTGTTCTACACTTGATTCATCTGACTGTAAACCTTGGTTATTAATAGGTGATTGCTGTACTCGCTAGATGGAAAAGGACTCTGGATCCTGGTTCCATCACCAGCATCCAAATCAGCAGTCTTCCACTAGGAATCTAGTGGGTTCTCCAACTAACATGAGGTCCCTGAACACCATGCCTGCTTATATGAATCCCTACTTTATTGAGGATTCTACTACTGGGACTTTTCCCTTGTTCCCGCTGCAACAGTTGAAGGCAAGCGAATTGAATGACTCTCCTAATTGGTTTACTTTTGCTACTGTACCAAACTCTATGGCCAAAGTGGAACTTCCTGCGGGCCCATTTGAAAGTTCGGGACAAAAAGGATTTCTTAACACGGGTACGTGTAACCAGAAGAAATTTCTTGTTTTTGATCAATCTGGGGATAAAACTACCTTGCTCTATAGTCCTGGAGCCAAGACTCCAGTTCAGTGTGCTACTTGGAGGCCAAAGCCTCCTGCCACGCTTAATTTGATTAAGGAAGAGCAACGGGATATCATATCTCCAGTGGGGCAGACTTTCAAGGATGAATGCATCAAATATAACTCTGAAGACGATTTGGAAAGTGAGATGCACGAAGACACCGAGGAACTGAATGCTCTTCTCTGCTCTGATAGTGACAGTGATTGCTCTGAGGATGATGAAGAGACAAGCACAGGTCATTCACCTAGCACTATGACCTATGGTGGTATTCAGAACATGGTTGAGGAAAGGAGTGACAGAGGTTCTAATTATGTCGGGCCAACGAAAAGGCAGAAATTGCTAGATTTAAAATACAATGTACCGTCTCTTGTGTATTCTTCGAGATCTGCAAAAACTCATGCATGCTCAGAGTTGGAGGATGATGCAGTATCCAGTTGTGGCAATGGCATTGATCAAGAATCGAATAAATCATGTTCCTTATCTGGTAGAAAAAGGTCAAGAAAAGAGAGAATACACGAAACTGTGAGCATTCTGCAGGGTATAATTCCTGGCAGTAAGGATAAGAATGCAATTGTTGTTATTGATGAAGCAATTGATTACTTGAGATCCTTGAAGGTCAAAGCCAAAGATTTAGGTCTTGACACGCTATAAAATTATAAATTTCTAATATCCCTTACCTCACTGGCGATATTGGAGTTTATAATTCTCAATTACTGGTATAGGAACTAGTTATTGTGGTTAATGAAGATTATCTATGGAACATACAGCACAAATACAGAGCCTTTAAGCTGTGGCACTGTGAACCGAGAAGGTTGAGACGTGTTCCATGCAGTGGACTCCTGAAAATTTGCATAGAGAAGCTCTTTTTTAAGTTTTTCTACTGTGATTTATAAGATTCTTTCAACCCATGGTCGACATTCCACACCATTCTCTAAAGGGTTTATGTTTTTTTTTTTACTAATCTGTGTGGGCCGGGCTCTCTCGAGGTATATATGGCCATTGGAACTGGTAACTTGTGGCTTTCGATCCTTCAATAGATCTCTCTTGTGGAGGAAATTGCCAAGATGATGTGCTCAAGTGTTTGCTGTTCACATCAGTGGACTACGTTGATCAATCAATTGAAGCTTTGAAATTCACACTTGAATGAAAAAGCTTTATATCAATCAGTTGGTAGATGAACTGGAAAGCTTCATTGTTTTTGTGATTTGAGTGTATGGTTTTTAAGATTATTTGTATTGTGAGCGAGTTGCTTGGATTGATGTAAACTTGTTTGCTGTTAATGCCGTTTTAATCTCGTATCATCATGCATTAACCTTGTATAATTGCGTGTGTTTCGTTCAGGTGGACATGAGATGTCCATCTAAGTGGTATATTCAATCTAGACTTTTATAGATTTAGAAAGTCTAGTTGTATTCAAAGTAAACTTTTTGAAAGACTCGTTTGGATAGGATTTTTGTTGTTTGTACTAGAGCTTCTTTTTTATGAAAGTATTTCAAGTTAGTTTACAATAAAAACTTTTCAATTTAGATAAGACACTTTTAAAAAATTATTCAAATATATTAAAAAACAATTTCAAAGTTTTAGAAGCAATTTGACTTTTCAAAAACCATGTTTTGATGTTTTCAATATAGATTTCTACAAACTTTTTTGAAAGTCTTTAAAATTCGAGTATTCATCAAGAGTTTAAGAGTCCTTAAAAGTGACAGAGTATTTAGAACGTCAATGATTTTAAAAAATTATAAAATTTTCCATATGCTAACTTTTAAGTAGAAACTAGGAAGTACAAATTTAAGAAGGGGCATTATTAAGAATGTTCAATTTTAAGGGTATGAGTTGAAAAGTGTCAACTCATTTGAATTTAGTGTCAACTTGTCTATTATGCCCTTAAAGAAAAGCTACATTTTGAAATGATATTCTCGACATTTGATTTTTTTTTTATCAATTTTTCACGAATTTTGAGAAGTGGCTTCCATTAGAAGCTACATTAAAATAACGTTTCTCGACATTTCATATTTTAAGAATGTTCAATTTTAAGGGTATGAGTTGAAAAGTGTCAACTCATTTGAATTTAGTGTCAACTTGTCTATTATGCCCTTAAAGAAAAGCTACATTTTGAAATGATATTCTCGACATTTGATTTTTTTTATCAATTTTTCACGAATTTTGAGAAGTGGCTTCCATTAGAAGCTACATTAAAATAACGTTTCTCGACATTTCATATGTCATTCTCGACATTTGAACACCGTTTCATTTGTTTAGAATGACATTTCATTTTGAACATGATATTTTTCTATATTTAAAAATGTCGTTCTCGACATTTCTGAATCAATGAAAAACATAGCTTTTATTGTGATTTGACATATATACTTTTTGAAATAAATATGGCAGAGTATGTGTCAAAATTTTATTGGCCAATAACAATATTGCAAAAATGTTCATTTTTTTGTCGTAGTGTGAAATTATAAATTGTTAATAAGGATATTTTGGTCTAAATTCTTCAAAATTAGACATTTTTGCAATGATGGACATTTTTGCAAATGACTAGGTAAAATGGACATTTTGTGAAATTTCCTCGTACAAAAATTTCCTAAAAATTGGAAGACTTCCACAAAGTGATAGGAAAATAAAGTTTGCGATCTTTCCTATAATATTTATCTTTCACCTTTGCTTGTACGAACTCCAGAGGTATTGTAAAAAAATAATGCTTAGTGTATCTGTCCCCCATGACAGTTTTTGTCTAAATCTTTTGTAAAAAATCTTAAAAAGACTTGTTTGCTCCTTCTACTTTTAAAATAAATACAAAAAAATGTGATTAAATATGTGCCCCTTATGTTAAGCACTGTACTAGAAAGTTTGAGATCAAGAAAGCAATGATTTTTTTATTTTTTTGGAAATAAAAAGATGGCTTCACTTCAAGCATGCTCCATATAGTAATTGATTTTACCGTCAAAGTGAAAATTATTTATTACCATGGTGGGGGCGGGGGGGGGTTTAGAAGGCAAATTTAATTCATTACAAGCACTTCGATGTAGGTGCAACCATTAACTGATGCTTGCTTTGTAGCACTTATGGGACATGAATGAAAAAAGGTTCATAAAACCTGCTTCACGATCACCTTCCCCTCCATGGTAGACAGCGGCGAATCCAGGATCAAAGTTCAACTAGGGCGGAGGTCGACCATTGACCGTCAAAAATTGTAATAGTCCGATTGTTTATGAAAATTTGGTTACATAATATTAAAAGTTATTTAATATATATGAAAATGAACTAAAACGTCTTCTCAATTAAAAAAATACCATGTATTGAATTGAGCAGCCAACATCTTCTCAATTAAATTTTTTCCCTTATTCTAATTTTCTAAACATAAATTCTTAAGTCAATAATCACAAGATTCATAACATAAATTCCTTATCATAAATCACGATTTGCAAACATAATTTCGTAAACATAAATTCCCATATCAATAATCATAACTCATAAATCGTAAATTACTTATCATAAACCACAATTCACAAACATAATTTTGTAAACATAAATTCCCGACACAATAAGTCAATAATCATAACATAATTAACAATTAAACATTCATCACTCAACATCGATAACTCAAGTAGCCAACGAAATTAAACAAAAAAAAAAAAAAAGATGAAGAGAGGGAGAAAGAGTCACTAGTCAGCAGACTCAGACTCGGACTCGGCTCGACAGTCCACAACAGAAGTTGCAAAACACATCCTCTCCAATCTCCTATGTGCAGCATAATAGATGAAATGAGCATCCTTCATATTAAATTATTAATTATAACTATCTCCCCCCCTTTTTTTGTATTTTTTTTTTTTTTTTTTTTTTTTTTTTTTTTTTTGTGCTGAAAACTTAACTTTCATACTGTGAGTCAAATGCATTTGTTTACATTTTTACTGTTATTAATTTCTGTTCTTTTTTGTTTTTCGGTTAAATTTTTGGGTAAATTGTTTCAAGATTCGTTACCTTTTTGGAGCATTGAATTTTTATTATGGAGGAAATTGGGGTTTCTTCTACATTGATTACAGTGTAATCATATTGGTTCTTCGCAGAGCGTTAAAAATCTCTGTGGCGGCTGAGAAAGATTGTACTGAAGGGGAAGATAAAGAAGGAACTGGGTTTCATCAATCTTACTGGAAAATCATATTCTTTTACTTCAATTTTGGGTGTGTTTTCTCTTTTATCAAAAAGTTATGATTTTTAACATTGGTTCTCTGTGATTGTGTGTAGTGTGTGTCTCTTTGCTTTACGTATCCATTATTTAGTCCATAAATATATCATATAATCCAACGATTTCTTCCCAAAGTGCACATATCGAACATGAACAACAAACAAACGATTTTTCTTTCTTTTTCATGATACGCTGTTCGAAAAAAAAAATTTTGACCCCACAGTTCAGATGGTCTGGGTCCGCCCCTGCTCCTATGTGCAGCATAATAGATGAAATGAGCATCCTTCATATTAAATTATTAATTATAACTATCTAATTCTAGTAAATTGCACAAAAAATGAATCAAAATTTTTAGACAGATCACAGATTCACAGATGGAATACTATCATACAGTTTAGTGTTGATTATTGTAAAATTCAAATTCGGCGATTAACATAAATTTTCACTGTGTGTAAGTGTGTTGATTAGATGTCTAATAACACTATATCTTACGTGATTTTTTTGAAACCAGAGATTCCGAAATTGCGTCAAATGTCTAATGAATCTGTGCCGCCTAGAGCCTACCTGCCTTGCCTCTTCTTCGACTTTGAAGGGAAATTTGAATTATAGATTGGAGACGAAGTGTCGGGTGCGCCATGTGGATTGGAGAGTGGAGAAGGAAGGAAAAGGGTTTGACTTTCTTTCACGATTTGGGAATTAGGGGAATTTGGATTCTTTGTTGGCTGCCTTTGCAAAAAAATGGTTTCAACAAGTATAGTTTGGGCCAATTCTAATTTCATATGAGAATTGGACATTTAGGGCCCAATGGCCAACAATTACCTCATTCGCTTCAAGCTTTAGTAATTCAGCCCAATTGTCCAGACCTAAAAGAAGAAGAGACGGGTCGTCTTCTCTTTCTGTTTGTTATCTTCCTCCCCGTTCCGGCAAGCTCTGCAATTTGCTAATCCTACCCGATGATTTTGAAGATTTCGGAGGAACCAGCACGCGCGGCCACGCCCCCACGTCGGGTGCTGGCTCCGCGCCTGATAGTAGATGAGAAAGTTTTCAACAATTTTCAACTTCAATATGATCAATCAACTTAATCTAACAAATGTGGATAATAAGTGACAAATATCATAAACATTAAAGTGCACGAGAATACGGCATTTATGTCCAATAAATACTTGTATTGTTTGATTTATACACTAATTAACTACAACTTATTCATTTCTATTCAAATTTTCAAACTCTCCTCTAACCTCAAACATAACAGTTTAGAAAATAATTATGCTCTTGAGGGAATTGTAAATTAATTAATCTTGGAAAATGCTTCATCCTATTCCCCACCACCACCTCCTCCTCCTCCATGTACCATACCCAAGTTTGAGAGCACATGAATTAAATTAACACTCCAGTTACTTTTCTCCAAACATTTCGAGGAACCACAAATATTATTCACTTATCCGACACACTTTCCCTGCATTCCCTACTCAAAGAAAAAAAGTCATACACTTGACTAGGACCTTTTTCTCCTGCAATTCATATGCTTCACCTGGATATTTTAGCTAGGCAAGTTATACACTTGACAGGGATGTTTATTCAGACCTCCAAGCACTCACAACATGGAGGCATCATGTTAGTTTTGTGAGTGACATAACCGTCAAATCTTGGAGGTAATTGCCATATTTTGCTCCCATCAAGCAACATGTGTCCCATATAACAATCCAATTCATCTATAAATAGGTATCTTCGTACAATATAAAGGGGCTTATGGAATTCTCTACCTATACACTAGATACCTACTCTCTACGCACACAATTTGTAAACATAATATTCATATATATCTCATCGAAATCATCCGGTACACTGATTTCGTGATTAACATCAATGTACATGTCTGTTAAATTGTACTACATAACCCAATAGACAAAATTTTAAATTCTTCATGTTTATAATATTTCCCTAACCTACATTACCAAACACGTAGAGAAAGTGAAGTATAGATAGAAACAAATGGGGATTTAAGCTGCCAAAACTAGAGCTATCAACTAACTGATAAAAACTGAAAAGAGAGAAAAACACACACACACACACACACACAACTTAAACACAAGAGAAAGTTAGGCCAATAAATATAGCACAACTTATCCACTAAAAATTTGCCAATTTGGCATTCTCTTGTCATTTAATTATTTGTTTTTCAATTTTTTATATGTTGCTTGTTTTGAGAACTTCAATGCAGTAACAAGTTAGAAACCTCAAGAATCTATCTACATTTGGCTCCAATTCCATCTTATCTTAAATTTTATTTATAATTAAATAGTATATGTGGCTATTAGTCACCTTTTTACTCTATGAGATGCCACATTTTTTCATCCATTGCATTCTCCTTAGGCATTAGCCATTGTTTATATCCAAAAGCATCACATTCCCACATCATATTGTAATTATATAAATAAAATTATGATGACAGAATTTCATTTGTTTATAAGGCTCCATATCAATTAGGACAATTATAGAAAAACTTGATTGTCAAGCGTTTATATGAGTCATGCATAGCTCCAATAAATGTTGACATTTTTCATGGTTGGAAATCCTATGCTGCCATTGTAATACTGGGAAAATGTTCGAATTTTGGAAGTTTAAATCTGTTGGATTAAGACATTTTTCTTCTTTATGTAACCAGTCCATATGTGAAGAATCAACATCTTTTTCATTTTAGTAAAATTCGTTAAGTTGGACATTACAAAACTAGATACGAGTGACAAAGAGGACGCAACGAAATCTTTATCCATTGTCGTGTTTAATTATGTCTAATTCAGTTTACGTAACATTACCTTTTATTTTGTGAATCCATGAAAATATTTACTCAAAATCAATTTAGGTTAGTTTCTTGCACACATATTCCTATAATAATAATCATAAATGCGAGCACACAAGCACAAGTAACAATACGTGTTAATTTTGTTTTATTGGTTGACTTTGTGTTAATCATCTTTAATAACAAAATAAAAATAAAAAATGACTAAAAAATGATCGAAGAGTTTAGAATATTGGAGACATTTTAATCCAGTTAATAGATGGAAGTTGTTTTCACTTTTGAGATGAGAAAGGCTACTCAGCATGATGGATGACTACCATTACGTTATCCACCGTAGAATTTTAAGCATTTTGCAATCATAGCGCCTCCACAAAAATATAAAAATAAAAAATAATCCAAACATTTATTATTATTATTATTGCATTACTCGCTTGGTTAAAAAGTAATTGTTCGCAACAATATTGACTTGGAATAATGAAAACTCGTTATGTATAAAATAATCTTCTAGTGTCTTGTGCTTCAATATTATGAATAAAAGCAATGAAATAATATCCATCAAAGAATGTCAAAGGAGAAATGATTAATCAAAATATAATAATTTCATCTAGAAAAGATTGAACTCCCCCAAAAAATCATGAAGTTATCTGAGTAAACTTTTAGGTATTGTTGTAATGGGAGAATCGATCTCTCAAGTACACTACCTAGTTTATGTTAAACAACAGTAACAAAACACATTAATCAGTTGGCATATGTCGATATTGCAGTCAGTCAATCATCACTGAAAATGCACTTGACCCATTTTTCTTGTCGTTTTCCAAGTAACTATTTGATGAATTTTAGGTGGCTTCCATTTAGTTGACATGCACTAAACATGATAGTTTGGAGAATTGTTCGATTTTAGAGACGACAAAAAAATTCATTCAACCTTATCCTGATACTTGCTAGGCCTCACCCTAAATGGGATGAGGATTACCAGCCTAATCGTGTTAAAGTGACATGGACAGGCGCGGAGATCATTGCCCCGAAGCGTGTATAAAACGGGTAAGAGAAACATAGTCCCTGCCCCCCGTTACCCGCTTCGTTTAAAGTTAACTTCAAATTTATGTCTTTTATCAAACAAAAGTAAAAAAAATTATCATTATTTTTAAAGAAAACATAAGTTGTTATTAATAAATTGGGAAAAAAGTAATAATATTTAGTAACTAAAGACATAAAAAATAAAAGCAAAAAATAAAAAAAATAAAAATAAATGAGTTGATAAATGGGGTAGGGGACCTGTCCCGCCCGATCCTGCCTCAAACCCGTCCCGCATTAATCGGGTATGAGGATGGAACAAAGAGACAAAAAAATCCGATGGGACGAAGGGAATGATTGACTCGTTCCATACCCGTCCCATTCCCATCCCTATTTGATTTTAATTATTTGAGAATCACTTCTCTCTCACACTCGTTTAACACATTTAAAATTTTTTTTTTTCATATTTCTTCATTATTTAATTCAAATTTTTAACCACAAATTGAAATATATATATTTCATATAATCACCTTTCAAAAAATCCTTTTCAAACAAGTGGATAAATACAAAGGATAAACAAGAACTCAACTTCCATTTATCAAAATGATTTATAAATATTAAATATAAATAGTAAGAGAAGTAATGATGGATTTCACAAAATGTGTGAATAATAATGAGCATTAATTATGAATGTTAATATAAAATTAATTTTTGATTTTGACTAAATTTATAAATAAATGTGTATCCAATCCCATGAGCCATCAAACTTCAAAAATTATAGAATCGTTTATGCACAATTCCTATTCAACACTAATTTTAGAATTCGTGTATGCACATTTCCTATTCAATTTATCAATCAAGCTTTTTGATAATCAAATCACCTTCTTTAGCTAAACATACGAAACAAAGTAAAATGGAAAAAAGAGTGCTCATCTCATAAATATCTAATTGCTTCTTTATTATTAGAAATTGAATGTGACCGGAATTCTTTATTGAAGATAATTGAGAGTTCTAATTAAAGTATATATTAAGAAGAATTCTGTTTGAAATGTTATTATGAAATTCTATTGAAGTTTACTCAACGAATTCTAATTGAAATCTTATTTGGAAGTCCATTGGGAGTAGAAATTTGTGTTGGATTTGACGAGGACATTAGGATGAATAAAATCAATGTTTTGGAGTAAAGGACCCGAAAGAGTGTTGTGGCTCCAACATCGTGGCACCGCTGATTTGTATGTCAAATATGATGAATAACTCTTGGGATTGATTTTGTTGTGTCCTTTGTGTTGGAAAAATGAGTAAATAGGTCACTTTTGACATAAGTTTGAGTGGGACCCATTGGTCCGATTTGAAAGATCAAAGTTGATCTGTGTTCTCCTCCGTGAGAACATCGAAACCATATATTTACTTGCCAAAATTGATTAATGGATGAATGGGAAATTAGAGTTCAAAGTTGGCCATTAGAAGATGATTTATGTGGAAAAAGTGACATTTGTCCCACATAGGAAAATGAAGAAAGCATGAACCACTTTATATATGCCTACACTTTGGAATGGTGTAATTATGTGTAGCATAAAAGCTCTCTCCACGTGCGCACCCAGGGGGGTGCAAATCTCGGACCGAAATAGCTTTCGGACCTTGAACTTGGGTGCGGGCAATTTTTTTTGCTTTCTTCAATGACTTTTGAGTTTCTGAAACTGCAAAAACTCCAATAGACTTCCAATGGTCACAGTGTTAATGGGCAGTAACTCCAATGGACTCCCAATGGTCACAATGTTAATGGGCAGTAGACCTATAAAAAAGCTCATTCTCCAGCAATCTAACACACTCGAAAATCTCACATACATTCCTGCATACACAGTTTCTTCTTTTCTACATTCTTTGTCCAGTAAGATCTTGTTCTTGTGGTGATATTGTT